TGGTAATACAATTATGGAAGGTAAGTGACAACTTAAAGAATTATACAAATACGGAAGTGAGGAGACACAGGAAAAATTAATCGTTACAATATTCAGAGCTCTCGCAGTATACAAGCAACGCTTAAATAACCCAGAAGAAGCGATTAAAAATTTAAAAATCGCATTTAAAATTAGGCCATTAGATTTTGGTTCGTTAAAAACTCGTGGAATTGTCTATAGTTCTATAGGCGAATTTGAAAAAGCTCTTGATGATTTTTCGGAAATATTAGAAAGAATTAATCAAGATGATGTAGAATCTTACAATACCGTGCTGATACTTATTATTGTCTTAATAATTTCGATGATGCACTTAACGATTTAAATAAAATATCAACGATTGATGAAGCTGATCAGCATTCGATGTATTACTGGTGGATACATAGTTTAGTAAATGAAAAATTAGGCCATCACGAAGAATCGCGTGTAGATTTAAATAGAGCATCGGAAGTTAAATTAAATACTGCAAATAATATATTAATTAGTGAAGGACATAATCTAAGGGTTCTTACGCAAATATATTTTGCTTTAGGAAATTTTGGAGAAGCACTAAAAAATTTAAATGAGTGCTTAAATTTTGAACCTTATAATGATCTAGGGCTTATTCTTCGAGGAATAATTCATTATAAAATGGAAAATTTCGAGTTGCATTAATAGATTTTAATAAATCTCGCAAAACCAGGTTTAAAGATGAAGACGTTAATGTACTTGGATTACGTGCTTTTACTTATTTAAAATTAGGCCGCTATAAAGAGGCATTTGAAGAATCTAATAAATTGTTAAAATTATTAGAAATATTACCAAATAATTTAATAAATGTGGGTCAACTTATATCATGCGCAAATCTTTATTCACATTTAGAATGCTATGTAGAATCACTTCAAATTTTAAATAGAGCATTAAAAATTAATCCCAATCATACCACTGCCTTAGAGCGTCGCTCACTTCTTTATTATTCAATGGGCAATTATGAAAAAACACTTGAAGACTTAAGAAAATAATAGAACTTGAATCAGAGGATAAAAACCTTTTAGCATACTTTTTAATTACACGAGGTGGCATTTATTATAATATGGAATGTTATGATAAATCCTTGGTAGATCTGAATAGGTCATTAAAAGTCAAGCCAAATAATGCTGAAAGCTTAGAATTACGCTCACGTGTGTATTACAGAATGGGCCATAGGAAGCAGATGCTAAATGACTTAAATATAGCCTTATTAAGTGAGCCTAATAATTTACTTGCACTTAGAGGTTGAGGACTAAGCTACATTGTGTTGAGAGATTTTGATAGAGGATTATTAGATCTTTATAAGTATTTAAAATTGCAAGTTGATGACATAGATATGAACATTCTTATATATTGCATAGATATCTCACTAGGGCTTTATTTTAGGGATGTTAAATTGCGAATCCGGTCCGGTCCGGTCTTAGGACCTGAAACGATGGTCCTGGACTCGATCCAAAAAATGATAGTTGATCAATCCCAGACTGGGTCCTGAACCACATAAGTTCATCCAATCAGATTGATAATTTATTATAGACATAACTAATAAAAAACTTTACCGTTGCCAACGTTGCCAATATTCATATTTTCAATATTTTATTCGATTATACAAAAAATTTTCATATAAAAAACAAATTTATATCGTATAAAAAAAAATTTATATAAAAAAATAAATTTATATAAAAAAAAAAGATTCATAAAAAAATAAATTTATATAAAAAAAAAAGATTTATTTAAAACGAATTTTATATAAAAAAAAACAAAATTTTATAAAAAAATTTTTTATATAAAATAAAAAAACAAAAAAAAAAAAACTAAGCACTAATATTACTTGCCTCTTCATTTAATAGATCATCTAATTCTCTATACCAGCTTTTCAAACACAAGGATGCACAAGCTACTTCATGGCTTATGCAATTTTGGGTGAGACTAATTATGTGCTTGGCAACTGAGAAAGCTTGTTCACTTGGCATGCTGGTTGCTTGCACAGCAAGAAAGTCCATCGCAAGGTGGAAGAGAGTTGGGAATGAAGCAGTATTTGCTCTCCACCAAAGTAGTGGCTCTGCTTCAGTTTCAATCTTGGCCAAATACTTGTCAATTTCACATTGATTCAAGTCAGCCTGGTGGCTATGGTTAAGATTATGAAAAGTATACATGTTGCTTTAGTAGTTGTAGGAGGTGGAAGTGGGTTATTTTCTTCAGTTGGTTTATACTTTTTATGCAATTTATGAAGTTTACTGATAGCTTGTTCATGTTCATAAATATCAAAAGTTGAAGTTTATTGCAGTGATCAAGAAGACTATAGATTGTTAAAGATTCATTAAGGTAAGTCCAATATAATATAAATTTTCCTTTAATTGCACTTGCTATAGCATGTAAATTAATCTCAGAACCTTATTTTTATTTGAGTGTATAATAAGGTTGTGGAATATCATGTGCAAGTCACCTTGAGTATGAAGCATGGACAAAGACAGCATTATAGTCATGTAGTACATGGGCTCAAGAAGAATTAGCAGGTCCTGTAATATTAACACATACTTAAAGCAGGTTTATTTTATAATTTAAAAAAAAAAAAATTAGTATTACTAACAAAAACAATCTTCCATTCTCATTCAGTAGAGTAATTTGGTTTTAAAGCTTAGTTGCTCACTACAAGAATATTAGTTATGGAACAAATTTGTTAAAGTTTTTTTAATATTATATACATGCTATTTCATCTTGTATCTACATCAATTTTAGATATTAAAAATAGAATATTTTTTAACTCAAAAATTTTTTTTAATTCTTGAATTAGTGACAGAGAGTTTTGAAGTTTCTTAAAAAAATCTCTTGCCTTAGAGATTTCTTTGCTTATTGATTTTATTTCTTCTTTTATGACAATATTGAAAATATGAGCACTATAATGAAAATATTGCACATTTGCATTACTAAACCAATTATTTATTTTTTCTTTTAAAACATACCCTATTGCAAGCATATTGGAAGCATTATCAGTCATGACTTCTAGAAGTTTTTGGCTAATACCTATTTTCTTTAGAAGTTCAATAATCATGTTAGCCTGGTTGGTTGCAGTGTGGGTTTCATTAAACAGGATTATGTCAAATAAGATATAATGCATTTTCTACTCAGAATCTATCTAGTGCACAGTTATACTGATATAGGGCTGCTGAGTATATGACATCCAATTATCCATTGTAATTGAAATCTTTGATTTTATATTATTTAAAAAAAGATTAATTTTATTTTTATTTTTATTATACTCTTGACTAACCCAGGTTGAAAGTGTTTGGTAATAAGGAAGATGGTAACAGGGGTCAAGTTCTTACAAAAATTTAATAAATTCTGCATTTTTGAATAATAAAAATAATTGTTGATCGATAATAATCCATTTTAAAAATTTATTATTTAAATTATCTTTATATTTTTTAATAGGACTATATAGATCGAGTCATTAATATTTATACTGTTTGATTATAGCATATTCAGAAAAGTAGAAAACTTCAAAATGCTGATTAATTGTTGATATTGCAGTCTGGTTTCTAAATGCTTTTTACATACTTTGCATTTATCGCTTCTATTATTGAGTTCTTTAAAGTAATTTCTAATGAGTTACGATTTTGTATATATTTAATCTGGGCTTTTCATGAATTATTTGCTTTTTTTCATAGTTTTTTTGTGTTATCTGAAAACACAGATGCTATTTTATTGCTCATAGAGGTTTCTTCAGTAGGGAAACTAGGGGAACTAGGAAATTTTTTATTTATCAATTCAAATTCGAATTGATCTGTTTCTGTGAGAGATTCAAATTTGCTTGTTATCATTTTTGTTTTTTTTTTATGATATTTTTTTCAATATTTTTTTTTGAGGCTTTAAATAAAAAATTTTCATCTTAAGATATATTTTATTTGTTTACTAAGGAAGGCAATATGCCTTTGTTACTAAAGATTAATACATACTTTGTTCTTATTATTGTAGAATGGCTTATTTCAAATAAAACTTTAATAAACTTTCCAAGGCATATCATATCACCTTTGTTCCTATTATTATAGAATTAAAATAAATCTTTATTATTACAAAATTTAAAGACAAATAGCACTATAATTTTATAAGATTAATTCACCTTTTATTATATATTCATATATTAACTTTTTTAAAACATATTACCTTTGTTATTAGCAAGATAAAATAAATTCTTTAATTATTAATACAGAAAATTAAAAACAAACATCAATAAATATAAGTAATTTAACTTCTATTAGCTTAATTCAACTCTATTCAATACTGAAAATTAACTTTTTAAGGCATATTGCCTTTGTCATTAACAAGAAAGTTAGTTAGACACACTGGCCTTCAATTTTCAAATTATAACAAGATGGTCTATAGCTCAACAAACTGAGTTAATTAAAAATTTTTCTTTAGTGTGAAATACTCAGTAATTTAACTTTTATAAGTTTACTCACTTATGTCTATATTTTATTTAAAGCCAGAGATAGTTAACTTCTTAATCATTATCTTATTTCTAAAAAGTTAGTTTAAAATCATACTTCATGTTGCCAACACTCAAACTGGGGGCCATAAAGTTTCAAAAACATATGCCTTATAAAAAAAATATATTCCTTACCAATAGCGCAAGGTCAAAGGCAGAGGGCTGTTCCAACATTTAACAAAAGCAGGTCCTAGGATTTTTAAAGAGACTGGATCCAAAAATTGATCTAGGATCTGATTCCTATATACTTCTCACGTGATTTAAGGATCGAATCCCTTCTGGTCCTTGAAGAACCGGACTGGACTGGCTAGGAATCGATCCCAAAGAACTGATTAACATCTCTCCTTTATTTGGTTGAATTATCAATTAAAATTTTGAATATACTACTAAAGCATGAACCAAACAATACAAAATATTAAACTATTTATGCAATCTTTTAATAAATCAAAAAATATTAGTAAAAAAGCTTCTAAGAAATATGTAATTACATAAAGTTTAGCATAATTATTTTTAAATTTTTATATAATTATTATTTGATCGTAGAATCTATATTTATATCAATAAAATATATATTTATTATTTGATCGTGAATCTGTATTTATATCAATAAATTTAAGGTAGTGATTAAAAAATTTTGTAAGTTTAAGTACTAATAAAATACAGAAATATTTTGCTACTTGTGGTGATGATGATAAATCAATTGTTGGATGGATGATTACAGATGAACTTATTATCTGACTCTTCAGTAAACACCAAACAATAGTAAGTAATTTGTAATAGAAATTTTTAAGTATAATAACTAATAATAGAAATCATGACAATTTCAATATAAACTAACACATTTAAAGCACATAATATATTATTACAATGGTGAGTAAAATTATTTGCAGTAATTATGATAGAAACTATGACAATTATAATTCAAACTAACTCATCTTAACCACATATTATAATTACAGAAATAGCGATTAAGTCTTATTTCAGAATTATTTACTTCAGAATTAAAAAAAAATAGCGTATTTCAGAAATAAATAAGAGTTTAAAAAATCTTATTTGTGTATCAAAATTTTGAAATCAGAAAATGAAATGGGAGTGTCTAGAGACTCCCATTTGACGAAATAAGTAAAAATTTTTTTATTATGCAGATCAACAAACTATTTAA